CCCCCCCCCGCGGCCCGCCTGGGAGGGAGGGAGGGAGGGAGGGAGGGAGGGAGGGAAAGAAAAAGAGAAATGTCATGTTGTTGAGACTAGAAGAATTAGAACATAGTGCATTGCTGCTTGTGCTGATTATATGTCAAGCTGAGTCATTTTGGAATATGAAATCTCAACTTAGGAAATGCCCTCACCAAACTGACCTCTGGGCAAGCCTGTGGTACATTTCCTTGATTGATGATTGATGTGGGAGGGCCCAGTTCACTGTGGGCAGTGCCAGTCCTGGGCTGGTGGTTCTGGGTGCTATATGAAAGCAGGCCATGGAGAGTGAGCCAGTAAGTGGCACTCTTCCATGGTCTCTGTTTCAGCTCCTGCCTCTAGGTTCCTGCCCTGCGCTCTTACTGTGACTTCCCTCAGTGTTACCTGGAAGTATAGGCAAAAGAAACCCTTTCCTCCCTAAGTTACTTTTTGGTCGTGGTGTTTTATCATAGCATTAGGAACCCTAAGACTCCATTGCTTGTGGTGGTGTACCCACAACAGGGGTGCAGTAGCCACTGTTGAGACAGTACGGGAGCCCTCAGAGCACCGCCCATAGCATTAATGTGCTCTGCTAATGGCGCTTCCAGTGTAAGTTAAAAGCAAGGCCTCAGACACGTATTTCTACCTTCATGTTCAGAGCAGCGTCATTTACAGCATCCCAAGGGCAGCAACAACCTGTGTCAGCTGACAAGTTTAAACGAAAATGTGGGACGTTATCACACACAATGGAACTTAAAAGGAACTGGACTAGGACTCTGCAGACCAACAAGTGATCTTTTGTTTGTTCGTTGGTTTGTTTCAAGTCAGGGTCTCTTCGTGTAGCGCTGACTGTTCTGAAACTTGCTCTGTAGATTAGGCTGGCCTTGAACTCAGCCATCAGCCTGCCTCTGCCTCCCAGGTGCTGGGATTAAAAGTGTGCACCACCACTGCCCAGCGTAAGTGCTCTTAACCACCAAGTTAGCCCTTGCTTTTATTTATTTTTATTTATTTGTTTGTTTAGTTAGTGTCTGTGTCGAGGGTCTGTACACACCTTTCTGCCAGAGATGTGCATGCCTCTGTAAGCATGCAAGCAGGTGTCTTCTGTATCACTCCCTGCCTATTCCTTTGAGGCAGAGTCTCTCCCTGAACATAGAACTCCTATTTTCTCTGCTAGGCTGAAAGCTAGCAAGCCCCAGTGCTGCTTCTGCCTCTGTCCCCCTGGGAGTTGGGATTGCAGGCATGTGTGGAACTTGTGGCTTGTTAAGTAGGTGCCGGGATTCAAACTCCACGCATCATGATTGTGCAACCATCTCTCCAGCCTCGTTTTTGCTTTCTCACCAGGGTTTTATGAAGAGTAGAAGTTTAAACGGTTAGATGAAGATCAAATCAAAAGAGCTTTGCAATTTTGTGATGGGATCCAGCATGTCTACATTATTTTTGTTTGCTCTGTGGTCACAAAGTTATTTTTGTTTGTTTGTTTTTGTTTGTTGTTTTTTTAAGATAGGGTTTCTCTGTGTAGCTTTTGGAGCCTGTCCTGGCATTCACATTGTACACCAGGCTGGCCCCAAACTTACAGAGATCCGCCTGCCTCTGCCTCCCAGGTGCTGGGATTAAAGGTGAATCTTATCCTTTCTAGTAAATGTCTTAGCTAGTTCTAGCATACACTTTTATGTTGTTAAACGACTCAAGAGAAACCTTGGCGGGTAAGAGCCCACAGCAGGTGAGAGCCCACGGCGGGTGAGGGACAGACAAATATGCCATGTAGGCAGAGCTTGTGTGGGAGTTTATTGAGAGAAGGGCAAAGGGGAGGGAAGAGGAAAGGAGAAATTCAGAGAGAAAGAGGAAGAAGAGGCAAGGACCAGGCTGCCTCTTCAGAAGAGCAGAGCCATAAAAGAGAGCGGGAATGGGCAGAGCTTGTCTCTCAAAGGGAACTTTTGCACCTGTGTGTGTATGTGTGTGTGTGTGTGTGTGTGTGTGTGTGTGTGTGCACGCGTGTGTGTGTGCGTGTCTGTGTGTGTGTACACATAGTGATGTAGCAGCCGTAGGACCCTGGGTTGGCCATCTTGCCAGGCAACACGGGCGAGCATAATGACTGAATTCTAACATTTAGGTTTATGATCTGTTAAAGATAATTTTTTTGTTTATGCAGTGTTGAAAGGGTTAAGTTTTGTTCATTTCCTAAAGTGCATCCAGTTTGCCCAGAAGCAGTTGTTGAAAACAACTATTTCTTTATTGAATTATATTGTCACTTTTGTCAAAAATCAATTGTATGGGGCTGGAGAGATGACTCAGCGCTTAAGAAAGCTGGCTGCTTTACCAGAGACCCTAGGTTCAATTCCCAACATCCACATGGCCACTCACAACTGGCTCTAACTCCAGTTCCAGGGATTCTGATGCCCTCTTCTGGTTTCTTTAGGCACTGCAGGCACGTGGGCACAGATGTATATGTAGGCAAAATACCCATGCACATAAAATTTAAAAATTAAAAGAAAAAAAAAAGCCAGGCAGTGATGGCACATGCCTTTAATCCCAGCACTTAGGAGGCAGAGGCAAATGTATCTCTAAATTCAAGGCCAGCCTGGTCTACAGAGTGAGTTCCAGAACAGCCAGGACTGCACAGAGAAACCCGGTCTTAAAAAACCAAACCAAAAAAAAAAATCAGTTGTTTAAGTCTTCTGTTGGCCCTTCTGTCCCACTCATCCACGTGGTGAATTTTAAGACAGTTGCATGCTGTGGCTTTACTTATTATAAGTAAATAAAGCACTGTAGCTCTGGCTTGGGTTTTTCCTAAATTGTGTGGGTTAATCCAGGTCTTCACCATTTTGACATAAACACCTGCGATGGTTTTGATGCATGGCATGCACTGTTCACATAATCTCGAGGAAGCCTTGCATTTTAACGACATTGACTCCTGACAGCAATGGAGGAGGCGTCTCCTGGTGCTCTTGTCTTCTCTGCCACGTTTCTGCATCTTGCAGGGCACGGTCCTTACACACACTTAACCTTAAAAAGTATCCTAAAAAGAAACAAGAAACGGAAGGACATTGTGGAGTCATGAAATATTAATGTCATACTAGAACAAGTGTAAACATTTAGGCAAATAAAACTTATGTTGGTTGGGTTTGGTCAACTTGAAGTCTCCTGGGAGGAGGGATCCTCAACCGAAGAATTTCCTCCCCCAGACTGGCCTGTGGGCAAGTCTGTTGGGGGTAGGCCCTTGATTAATGATTGATGTGGGAGGACTCGGTCCACTGTGGGCAGTGCCAACCCCGCTGGTGGTCGTGGCTGTCCACGGAAACAGGCTGAGCTAGC